TTTTTTCCAATTCCAGAAATTCATTTATTTTCCTTTAAGTCAGAAAAGTCAAAAATCTCTCTATGTTCACTCCCTGTAAGAGGCAGAAGCAACTGGAAATAGCCAGCCACTGCCAAGGCCGTTGGTAGTTCTTCCTCTTTCGAGAGTTGTTTACAAGCAAGCTGATGGCGAATTTGACGTTCTCATGTCCTGGCGCAACTTTACTATCGAAACGATTGAGCCAAATTTAGGGGGAAATAAACAGTTGTGTGTTGCTGAAGTTGATAACGCTGATAATCTGCGCTACTTAATTTCTGGGAAATTGTCTGCATTTACTCGATTTGCTTGAAAATTTGAAAATTTTAGATCCATTTATCTCTGGGCTTCGGCAGCTACAGATTGTACAGTAAATCTATGGGATACCAGGCAGCATCCAGCAAATGTTCAGGTGCGTCATTTCGATCGCCCAGTGAGCTGTGCTCGTTACAGTCCCAACGATGCATTCATAGCTTTGGGCTGCGATCAGTTGTACATGATGGATCCACGTGTCAGGGAATACAGATCTCTTCCTTCTTTATCTCAGGTCTGTTAAATTATCATTAATTGTGTAGTACTCCTTGATAGTAATGTGGTTCCGAAAGGAAAGGGTGGACGAGGGCGCGAGGGATAAAATCTGGCACATCGCGAATGGGAAGTAAAATTGATCAGCTTTTAGGAAGACGACAAAAATTACCTAAAAAAGACACAGATTTGAAGCAGAGCGGCTTTGATTATAGCTTGGTAGTGCTATGTTAAAGGGTGAGTAAGTTGGATCCTGAAAATCTGCATTAAGCACCAATATCTGAAAAAAGAGTTCCGGTGAGTATAACGCAGTGGCTGTTGGTGCTATCACGCAGGAGGAGATCAAAGTTCGATTCCGCCAGTAGGACAACCAGTCCCTCTTCGATTCACTCGTTCGTTTTGATGATGAATCTGTACTGACGCATGCCTGGAAGTCAACCCCGCCATGAGCTCCCCTCTAAGCAATACTCACAGGTGGTGGGCATCTTTGCCAGCAGTAGATGCTATATGTAGGTACTACTGCGTTTACCGTTACAAAAGTCTGTTACTTTTGTTTGGAATACTCGGATTAGCTGTTAATCCAAGTCTGAGTTGTTAGCTATGCAACTGGCAACTTTTCCATTTGCTTTGACCAATGCTGCATTGCATGTCAGTCAGCTTGCTGGCGATTTTGACATTCATTTTGTTTTCTGAACAGTTTACCAGCAGGACTGTCGCATGCCGTTTTTTGCAGTGGATGAAAAATGGAAGGGACAAAACTTTAAAATTATTATTGCAGGTATTGCATGTATGCTTCCATCCTACCGAGTATTTACTGGCCACTGGATCGGTGGATCGTTTGGTACGATTTTGGGACATTGAAACGGCGGAATGTGTATCACAAAGTGATCCAGCCGATGGGACACTCAGGGAAATTGCATTCCAAAAAGATGGCACCGCTTTACTTACGCTTACCGATTGGTTCGTTTCAATTAAATGTACTTTTCTTGTAAGGTGAAATTATTGCTAGTAGTTTGTGGGATAAAGTGGAACGGGAATTAAAACGGAGCGGAATACTCAATTTAGCGAAAAGGTTGCGTGAAATGTTCAACGTAGTTATTCATACAGTGAGTTTTATCTCAAAAACTAAATTATCATGGAAACTAAATTGTCAAAAACTAAATTACCATTAAAATAAACTATGCAGCTGACAGCTTTTTTAGTTACTCTGACCAGTGCTTCTTAGCCTGGCGATCAGCCTCCTGCTGGCGACCCTGATGTCTCTTTTGTCTCTTGAAGGGATTACCAACTCAACTTTCTCCTGGCAGGAGCACCTGACTTGGCTCTAGTTGTTCTAGGCAATACAATTTCATGTCAGCGTTGCTGCTATGTGATAAGGAACTGAGAAATAAGCATTTTTAAATTATTTGAATTATATTTCAGCTCAGGCTGGTTTGTTATTAAATTTTTGCTTAATTCGAAATAGCTATAATTGTTTAATTCCGAATATACAAAATGGGACATGTGTAGGCTTTGTGTTCAGCTGTGCGACACGCCTAACTTACGCGCTTAGCGCAAATAATTTTTCAATATTTGAGAGCGGGACCAAAAAGGACAGGGGGAGGAGGGTTGTTATAAGTTGGGCTACCACGCATATGACGTATCGCAGTAAAATCGGGATTCCTAAATCGTTGAGCTCACTGGTCACACTTCAGTAAAATTAAGGTTTAC